TTAGTATATATATGTAATTAAACTTGTCTATAACAACTCTAGTAAGATTACCATTGTCAAAAGTGTCTACATTGTTGTCCAATAGAATAGTTATCTTTAAGATTACATGTATGTTGAAATTAATTTGAAGATTGTTTTATTTGTTCTTTATACAATGTATGCACATGTATTTAATTTTGATAATTTAAAATTAAATATGCTTGTTTGCATTTATATATTACTACTTATAAGCTTTTTCACTTCATACAAAATAATTTTAGGAATTATTTCTTTTCAAATCAAATTATTTAAGTTTGCTAATAGGTTTTGATATTTGAAATTGTGTGTTTCTGCATCATTCTAAGGTGTGAAAACAATCAGAGTGAAAATGCAAAATACAATGAAATACAAGTTACTTCAAATGTCAATTAATGGAGATTGAAAGATGCACAAAACCTATGTTGTAATCACTTACAAATCATGGCAAATGAAATTTAAATGACTATTTTGTAAATAGACTTTCTACTTTAATGTTTACCTTTTCAAAAATTGCGAAATTTTGTAAGGATAATGAACATTGTCTCACAAAGATATTGAAAAATATATTGTCAAAACTCACAAACTTACAATCAGGTGAAAATTATTACTTCCAGCAAGGGCACATCTTTCTGTCAATCCTCGTTCAACGAATCCTCATTTAACAACAGTATTGAGAGAATGTCTATAAGAATAGAAAACGACTATCATCCAAATATATTAAAGTAATGAAAATGCACCTCGTATGTTAAGAACACTGACAGTGAGGAGTATCACTTTCCTCATCAACCCCCAGTCCAATGACCAATTTGATAAAAAAAAATAATAAAGTAATGGGGTGTTGGTTATCTGATCAACTGAAGATAAAGAAGGTGAGGTAGATGCCCTCGGACTGCTAAAAACAGAAGATGCCTGGAGGGAAAACGGCAACAAGCGCCAGGTCAAGGCCATACATCTGTCAATTAGTATACAGAATGCAATCTGCACAGGTACTCGAAAAAAAATGCGAAAAGATAATCTTCCAGTGCTGGATTTCAGCATCATGGACAAGAAAAACCCAATGATTCAGATGTCAGGAGTCTGTCGTAATATGACAATGCTCAGGCACAAAATTTCATTTACTTCTCAAGTGTGGAGCAAAAATCCTTCTGCTGCTGCAACACGACCATATGGAATTTCCATGAAGTCGCCTGGGCAAATGTGATACAGAAAATATACACTAGAAGTTTCAATGATCCGCACAAGAATTTCGCAATGAATCAAGCGAAGGTGGATCATCGGTCTGGTAGCTAACACGTATAATAGTACAAGTAAAGAATGTTAAGAAACGTAACGATTCGAGAAGTTGTAAAAATCGCACCGGTTGCAACCTGTCCACTAATGTATTCTGAGGATACGATTGTCAGGCCCATCAAGAAGCAATTCCCGCAATCATTCTTGAATGAGGAGATGAATTACCACAACATTATAAAGCCAAGAATATCTAAGTTGATCGCTCTTCAATGGCTGGATTGCTCCCGCTCCACAGGTGTACATCAGAAGGAATCTTGCAGGAGCAAGAATGAGCGCTGTATGTCATCCATAAATCTCCGGATTCCCTTCAAACTTGAAAAAGTCACAACAGACATGTAGTAGAAGTCAATCCTCGCTCATAATCATTGAAACAAGTCCTTTCGAACCTCAGCTCTAACAACAGGACCGGCGCCCACCCCACTTCGGCCTCCACAGCACAGGACGTCATGTCTTACAAGTTTCTTCCTTTTCCTCATTGTGCATCCTCCGCACAGTGACGTTGTCATCACCATTGTGGCTTCGAACAACACCAACCCGACCAAGATAGCGGCAAAGTGAAGCATCTTGATCTGCTTGAACACCAAACCTAACAAATATTGTCTCCCAACTGAAGCACCAACTCCACGTCAAGAAGGGGAATCCTAGCACACTTGACAAGGACCCCAGCTATGCAGGATCTGCAACATCAGAATACTTTCGAGACAGCTCAAGACGCTCACATCTTCCACTAGTGCAGCATTACAACGGCAGCAGCTCGAAACAACAACCACCTAATGCTTCAAAGCCATAAACTGCCTCAAGAAGCTTCCCACCCGAGACGTAAACATCACACACACGTCATGCGCCGTAATAACCAGTCAACCAAGCTCGTTCAAAGTCTTCAGACTCTGGAAGCCTCTAGATCCTTGCGCAAGGATCTATCTATCCAACTGAAACTCCAGCAAGTTACCTACGTCTTCTTACAAGCGAAGATCTCCTACTCTGAAATCCACTGGAAAAACGACCACGGCTCACACTCCACGCTGCCTCGTCTACCAAATCGAACCTCGCCATGGCAACATTCAATCTACAAAATCCGTGAAGGTCTTTAAGTAGCGGTTGCGGATTCGGCAAGTCGACGAAAATACGAAGGCGAGAAGATTACGTTGCGCGGGGGAGGGAAACGTGTGTGTCATGCCTTGGCCGCAAATTGAATTTGAGCAGTCGTCGTTCTCGCCCATTCAGAGATGGTGCTGGCACTCATTTGTACTCATCTTTCAGGAATCAAACTCAAATTACTCGCTATAAAACTCAAACTCATCGTATCTCATTACGTATTTACTTGAGCGGTATTATTTCAGAAGTGTATAATACGTTTGAAGCGCGGGGAGGGGGGCTGTATGACCGTGAGGCTGACGGGAATGGGCCCCCGTTCGTTAATCGTTCCACATGGCTGTCTTGACTACCCTAAATTCCATAAGTATTTTAAGTAAACCGTTGCCTGGCCTTTGCTGGAGTTTATTAATTTATTTTGGAGTGTGACCAGTAATGTTCAATGTAAAATTACACGTGATCCATGGCGTGTGAAACCCCTTCTTTTAAAAGGAGATTTAAATGGTTAATTTGACATTATATCGGTGCGTATTGGGATAATCTGGGTAGGATATGTCACTTTCTTTGATGATGATTCATTTGGTGTACAGTTGGCAACTTTAATTGTTGAAGCGTGTTTTAAAATAGTTATGTATAATTTTATATTTTTTTTGGGATGTGTAACTTGTTTTACTGTTGAAAGCTTGTATTTATAACTTCTAGATTTTAATTCCTACTGTTCAAATGTAAAATCTAGAAGTTATAAAAACAAGCTTTTTGATAAGATGTTGATTTTCCAATACAATATTATTAGCAAATATATATATATATATATATATATATATATATATAATTTTGAAAATAGAGATAATAGTAGTATCATGTTTTTTCATTAGATGACTATGTACTCACTTCAAAATTAAAATTCTAGCAAAAAGAGACTTTAAAAAAAAAAAAATGGTCAAGTTTTGTATTCAATTTTTTCTATTTACTATTTTCACTAAATTTACCCATCCTATCTTAACCATCATTGCACCTCTGCAACCCTCAACCGTTGTCACCATTCCCCATTCAACCGTTTCCACCATTCCCCTCGTTCCCATCCCCTGCCCCTATTGTCCTTGTCTCCAATTCGACCTCCCAGCCTCCGTCCTCATTTCAAGGACATCACTAATTCGACTCTAAGTTCATGGTGGCTGAGCAAAGTTTTAAAATTTGAGTCCTGCAATTAAACCAAAGAGTACAGATTGTGAGCAAAAATTCTTAAATTCACCTGGTTGCGATCGCTCAACGCTGTTGATGGACTATGGATCATGAGCAAGGCAAGACTTCCACACCCTGATCACTCCATTGACACCAATTGTCTGTGACACAAATTTAGACGAACCAAAGCTCTGATTTCTCAAACAGGGGCAACATGGGTTTCCTCAACATGTGGAGCATGGATTTCAAAGGGAACATGGATCTGTTAAGCCCTTTTGTTCGTTACTTCCGTGAGCGAGCCTCCTTCAGGTAGAAGAGCAAACGGCAGAAGAAGTCAATCTTGAACCCAGTGCTCACTTCAACTTAGATTTGGAACATTTCTCTATGTACAGCTTACCAGCATGAGTTGTTTATGAATATTGATACGGCGGAACATGCTTCGAGTTCAGTTCCGATATTCTGCGATGTGAAATATGCCTTTTGAGTCAAATACTTATACTTTTGTACATTTGTAGCATTTGGTTCTCTGAAGTTGATTGGAGGTGTAATACCGCAAATAAGAAAACTATTCGGTTTGAGAGGCGAAATTCAGATTAGCTGCAAGGAGGGTGGCATCAAGTACTCACCAGAAACAGAGGGCTAAGAAGGATAAAATTGGAATGCTATTGATTGCTTGACTTTCCAATTTGAGTTCATTTTTCTGCACAAATTTTCATGGAAAAGAGAATGGTGAACCACCTAGTTCTGTTCTTTTCACCGCGTGATCTCTTGTTTTAAAATGATAAAAATATCTAAATTATGTCGTTTATTGACACACAGATTTCTTGCGCTGTAACAAGGACATTGCCGCTACAGTCTAAACTTGATCCATCTCTGACGACTGTTTGAATACCCTGGACAGATTAGACCACTTTTTTGAATATCAGTAGTCGTCTAATTGTAAAATGACACTCATGTGGTTCTAGAATTTCAAGTGAAAGAAAAGTGAAAGAGTGATTTTGAAATCTTTGATTCCATTCTTAACATGAAGTGAGCTTCGCATCTCCAACTGATCTCGCAGAACCCATCTATTACTTTAGCAGCTTTTTAACCTTTTTCCATTGTAGATACCAAAAATAACTTTTTAATGGAGTTGACATGAAGTTCTTGCTGTGGGAAAAGCCAATTTTAGGTGGATTATAATTTAAAATTGACGTTTCCTAATGTCAAGTTGCAATGAACAATGAGTTGATTAATAAACGAAAACAACTTTCAAAGGTGGATTTCACTTGAATGCATTCTTAAGACACAAGCCTGAGCAATGGCTGCCTTTGTGGTAGGTATTTGAGCGAGAGCATTCAACATTACGAAGTCGTGGATGGTGCCCAGATATCTAGCAACAGTGACAGTCACGCCAGCTTCAATGAGCTTCTTTGCAAAGTTCTCTCCCTCGTCTCGCAGCACATCAAACTCACCAATTATAACGAGAGCCGGTGGCATGCCTTTGAATACTTCCATCGGTGCCCTCAATGGAGAAGCAGTTGGCTCCCTCCATACACCTTGATCCGATGCATACTAATCCCAGAACCACTGCATGGCTTGAAGAGTGAGCCACGGCCAATCGTGAAACTCCTTACACGATTTGGTATTGAACGATACGTCGGTGATCGGGTAGAACAAGCATTGTTCCTTGTATATGATGGTCACAGCAATGGACATATTGCCACCCACGCTGTCTCCACAAACCGCAAGCTTCGAGATATCAACACCAATTGCATTCTCGTTCTCCGCAATCCACTTGGTCGCTGCATAGGCTTCTTCGATGGGGATCGGGTACTGCGCTTCTGGTGTAGGGAAACAATTCACGAGCACCACCGCACAGTTGCCTCCGCTCGCGATGCGAGAGAAGAGAGCATCATTCCTCTGCGACAGATAGCAATGTAGGCTTATCGATGGATAGTCAAGCCCCAGGGCCTGTTGGCGTGATGGGCTTATTGGTGCAACATGATTTAAGGAACAGGGAACGGCCCCCAACTTGCTTCGGGCTGGGAACAGGGATAGGGGCTACAAAGGTGTAATGATGGTTAAGATAAGGTGGGTCACTTTAGTAAAAATTTGGGTTGCTTTATTATTCTCCTAAACATAATGAGTAAAATTATAATTACATTACTATTAATTTAGTTTATTTGAAACTATAGATGTAGAATTTGATTACATAAATATTGAAGATAAGAAATAAATATAACTTTTATTATTGTATTCTTATTATTTTTATTTGTCTAATATTGAATACATTCTTATAATATTTTTTTTCTTTACAATGATAAAATATTGATATTATGATTAAATTTATATAAATATTAAGTAATTAATTAAAATAATTTACATATTTTATATTATTTATAACAAGAAATTACAAAATCATATTATTTGAAAACAAAGTTATTTTTTAAAAAACTCATTTTAAAAACCTAATCTAATTTCAACTTCTAATATTTAGAAGTTGATATTAGATTATTAGTTTTGTTAGATTAAAAAAATAAAAACAAAAACTTATCTAATAGATAATTAATACCATTCCATTGAATATTCAAAAAAAATACAAAAATTTATCTATTAGATCTAAATGATTATATTATAATTTAGATTTGATAGATTTAAATAATTACAATATTCATTGAGGAAAAAAAAATTAGAGATATAAGGTGAAAAAAGATGCATTTTATTATATCACTTTTTTACCAACTAAGGTGTGTAATCTTTATCTATACCTAATATCCTAATACAAAGATCCAAAACTATCACTAAACAAAAAAATAAAGGTTGAGTGTAAAGGCAATCTTTGTTGTGCTCCACAAACAATCAAACAAACAAAAACTAGAATCAAATCAAATTCCAATGTGAGTAAACACCTTCTGAATTGAAATGCCTCATCTCTTGACAATCATTGAATAGCCTTGGCAAAAGAACTTTTCCAATCTTATCTTGTAAATACTATCATGCACATTATCATCAGTGGAGTTGAATCTAATTAACGAATTTTGCTCTTCTACTGCACCATAAATTCTATACATATTCCTTGATTTCAAAAAGACCACACATGCTAAGAAAAACATTGTATGTGCAGTAAGAATGATTCTCAATATACATAAAAGATCGTGGTTTTACACAAACCTTTACCTGAGGCTTGACATTCCTCTGTTATCAATTTACACGATTCATATGACACCAATTAGAAATAATGTATTTTCATTTGACCGTACCATCTTTCTACTATCAGCTTGACGAAACATGCCAAAAGGAGTTTAAAGCTTACCCAAATTATTGATTTAGAATAACATCTACTAAACATTTTCATCCGTTTATAGCCGACTCTTACGAAAAAGCTCCCGATTTGTTTCTTGCTGGATTTCTGAAGAAGCTCCAGATTCGTCATCGCCTGCGATTGATCGATTGATGTACCTATTATTGTGTTGAGAAATAAAAGAAAAATTACACTCACAGAAGGCAAAAATCTCAACTCGGCCGATAAATTCTGCTTTCAATTAAGAACGGCCCAGATTGTTCACAAGTAGCCCCCGATAAGTTTATCCCAGACTCGAACGGGACCCGAGTCGGTGACTGGTCCACCGACAGTGGCACAGAATCGACTCAAGGCTTGATCCAGATCATTTCGTTCAGTCACGATGGTCTCGATCCTGAGCCTTCTTGATTCAATCGCTCCTAGATCGGCGTGGTTTGAGTCCACACTTTGTTGTCGAGCAATCGACCGATCAGCCCGTCTTACGGTGGGGCACTCCGAAGCGGAGTGTGCACACTGGTACCTCGTGGATCCGGAACCTGCAAGCCGAACTTGTCATTCGCGGTTTTCATGCTAGATGTGTGTAGATACGCTGAGGTTTTGCACTGCGTCGTAGTGTACAGCTGAAGTTGATATATGGGCTGAGTCAAAATGGGTGCTGGCTTGCAAAGATCTGATCAGTTCGTTTCATATGTTCCAGTAAGTAAATCGTGATGATGTTTTCGACAAGCTGAGAACTTCTTGGTGTATCGATGTTTTGATTCGGAGAGCTTTCAAAACCACTGCCAGTGCCATGAGCTGATCATACATGAACGTTCTCTATATCGTTGTCTGTAACGATGAATCGCATGTCAACCTCCCTGGTGGCGGTGGTGAAAATGGGGATAACCTGCTTCCTTACCAGCTTGGCGACAGTTGCTACGAACGCCAGCTATACATCGAAGGTTGATTGCATTGATTTCTGACCAAGAGAACCACCGGAGGGTCTTTCCCAATAATACTTGCACTAGTTTGGTCATGGTGAGGTATAACGATGGCTCTGTCACGCTCTGCGACTTCTGAGAGGTCCGAGACGAGAGCAAGCAGAAGAATCTACCGAACTGGCTCTTCTCAGACCGTGTCCTGGTGATAAATTGACGACGTGGCAAGGTATCCAAGGTTGATCTCACTGTATGCTACAAAAACGAGGTTGCACCCAGAGGCCGGGGAGAAATTCCGATAACGACAAGACATTAGGAAGGATCTGTTATTTCTCTTTTAGAAGCCCGTTCTCTGTTGCTCTGCTATTGTTTCTCCTTATATTGTTTTGTTTTGTTTTGTTTTTATTTTCCCGATGCTGCTTTTCAAACCACTTTAGATTAAAAAACGATAAATTGACAAGTTCAACATAATAAGATAAAAATACATGTCGGTTTGTGCAGCACGTTGGTTGCATCTGACCAGGGCACCAGACATGTCACTTGCAATAAAATATTCTCTGAATGGAAGTGTTATCTTACCTCAGCTTTTCAGTGCGTCCATTCGCCACATCTGCAGTGTCTTTTGAACAGCTCTTATGAGCATCTTCGTCTTGCAAGATTTCTGAAAGCGTGATAAACCGCTGGAAATTGTCAGTATCCTATATTTAAATCAGGCGTCTCGAGTTGAGAAGGACTGTTCTTCACCAATCCAGATGTGCAGAAACTTGTGTAATATACTAATTACATACTGAGATGATTGGGTGACGATGATAGGAGTTAGGAGCTTCTTAGCTATGCACGGCACGGCCATGGCATCACCTCTCTGGCAATCAAGAAAGCAGAGAAAGCTGATGTGTATAATCTGCTTGTTATCTCACAAACACTGTAAATGCTGTATAAGTTTTGTTACCTTATAAAGCTGTAAACGTGTTAAAAGTACACTAGTGACATAAACAGTGGTATTTATACCAGAATGCCACATATGCATTTATTTACTTATATCTATATATATATATATATATATATATATGTGTGTGTGTGTGTGCGTGTGCGTGCGTGCGTGCGCGCGCGCGTGTTTGGGTGAGTGTATGTTACACCAGACACTGCCATGGAAAAGGTCGCAAACTTTGACAATTAGTGTTGTTTTCATATATAGAATATACCTAACTCTTACAAATGAACACTCTAAACAAAGAGTTGCCGCCACCTCCAACAACAAAGGTGCACGACGCTGATGGCCACTCAGTCAGTCACTTTTCAAGACCTTCTACCTAATTGAGAGCAAAGTGCCAATGTCTCCTATGTATTGTGTAGGATTTCGTGGGATTACCTCAAGATGCTTGCGCTGTTCACAACATTATGTGATGGGTGAAACCTATCCTGGATAATATACATCTTGGCTTACAAAGGAGTGAACAATCTACACTTAATTACATTCGGGAGAAACTCAAAGCCGAAGAAACACCAGCTCTTCAATCGCAGGAAGCTCTTTCAACTTCTGGATGGTGGCGTCGCTCACGTCCTCGTCCGTGCCAATGGCAACAATAGCGGCCTGGCCGCGCAGGGTTCGGCCCACGCTCATGAATGAAATGTTCACATTGTCCTCACCCAAAATGGAACCCACTTTCCCGATCATGCCTGGCTGGTCTACCTGCCGGTACAAGATGACATTGCCGTCCAAGCTCACGTCGACACTGAAGTTTCCGACCTTGCTAAGATGGGGCACACCGTCCTTCACCTTGCCCTCCAAGGTGATGCTCCGGCTGTGATCCCCTCTTGCGCTGGCGAATTTTGACTCTACATCTTGAATTGTAACGGACACACTCTCCAGTGGTACTCCGCTCTCACCATCAGCTGGCTCCCGCTCCTCACTAATCTTCAAACCCCGCTGCTTGGCCACATAATCTGCATTCACCAAATTGATGATTGCGTCCGACACGGGCTCGATCAACCCCTTCGAGATCCTGGCCCTCAATAGCCTGGTGTCCAAATCGCCGTCGTCCCGGGAAGATTTGTACACCACCTTCACCTGCTTCACTCCGGCACTACCCGATACCAACTGCACAGTGAGCCTTCCCAGCTTCTCTGCCAAAACCACATACGGGGTGAGCTCGGCGATTACCTCCGCGGGTACCATGGGTGCGTTCACAGCAGTTGCTGCGAGGTCACCTGCCAGCGCTCCTGCCACAGCTTCAGCAATCTCCAGGGCCACGCCTTCCTGGGCTTCAACAGTACTGGCCCCAAGATGGGGAGTAGCAATCACATTCTTGTGCTGTACCAGGGCAAACGAACTGTCGCCTCCCTTTGGTGGCTCCACCGCGAACACATCCAATGCGGCCTGCGCCACGATCCCAGAATCCAAGGCACGCAACAACGCCTCTTCGTCAATGACAGCTCCGCGTGCCACATTGACGAGACGGACACCCTTCTTGCATTTCCGGAATGTATCGTCATTGAAAACCTTCTTTGTGGTGGGAGTCAGAGGCATGTGGAGCGAGATGAAGTCAGCGCGAGCGAGTGCATCGTCGAAGCTCACGAGCTCCACGCCTATTGCACGTGCGCGGTCGGCGGACGCGTAAGGGTCGTGGGAGATGACGTGCATTCCTAAGCCCTTGGCTTTGCGAGCTACTTCAGAACCCACCTTACCAAATCCCATCACGGCCAAGGTCTTGTCAACCAAAGAAACTCCCACATACTTGTTGCGCTCCCATTTGCCACTTTTCATGGAGGAGTCTGATGGTGCAACATTACGCGCCATGGCCGTGAGGAGAGCGATTCCATGCTCTGCAGCAGCGACAGTATTGGCTGTGGGCGCATTAACAACCAGGCAGCCCAATTCAGTTGCTGCTTCGAGGTCCACATTATCGATCCCTACACCAGCTCTGCCCACAACCTTTAGTTTGCCTTTCGAAGCCTCGAAGACCTTACGAGTGACTTTGGTAGCACTGCGCACGATCAGGGCGTCGTAGTCCGAGATCTTGGCGCAGAGTTCCTCGTTGGTGAGGTTGTAGATGCAATCAACATTAGAAACCTTGCGCAAGATGTCAAGCCCGCCATCTCCGAGTTTCTCAGACACCAAGACGGTAGCAAGATCAGGGTTGCGACTCTGATTGCTTTGCTCAGACAGAGTTTGTGTCACAGCGGGGGATGATGAATGCGTGGTGGTCACGTTCATCACCACGGAGTGCCTCCGGCTGCAAACTGGCTGGCGACGAGTTTCCAAGGAATTCTTGTGGAGCGACACACGGGATGCTAGTAGCTGGTTGTTGCACTGTGCTTGCTGCCTCAGTCCCGTGACGCTTTGCAACATCTCCTTGACATTTACTGCCATGGTTAGCCCCGCAATTGTCGCCATGGAATAAGCAGCTGATGTAAAATCTTTTACGGAATCACAATAGAGTTCGTGCAACCTTCACACCCCAAATCATCATCAGCACTGGATGCATGTTCTTTCTCTTTCCGGATCACACAACTCCTTATTTCTCTCGAAGCATTTGACACCACCAAAGATGCTAAACTCAAGAAACACACCCAAACCACCAACCTCCTCGAAAGGCAAAGAACTCATTAATAGGATCTAATCACGGCTATGGCAACCCTGTCTTCACGCATTCACCGACAGACACGTCACACCGAATAGCAGCTAATTCAAAGAAAACAAGGCCACAAAGAAGACTGCTCAGTGCTATCGCCCTGTGTCTCATTCTTGTCCAGCATCACAAGAAACACTGCATAACAATCCAGTGTCACAGTGAGCATACTAAAAACAGGTCACGTGCACAAACTTATGCTCACCTCCGCAGCAAGCAGGCACTCCCACCTCAATCACTGAAACGATTGCCTCCGATTGTGATTCCTCCAAGGCTTCAAGAAATTGGAGGGACACCAGAAGAGCCAGAGGGCATTGAACTGGACTAATAAATAATGAAGGTCTTCTCTCCCAACCGAGAGGGCAATAGTTCTTTATATGCAACTGGCAGGCCCCGTTGGATAACAATAGACCGTAAAGAATGAGTCGAGAATCAAAAATCATAGGCTCTAGACTCGATAGAAATCGAATTATTCATCATAACTGATGACTGATGGTCATAGAATTGACTGGTCGCCTCATCCATGCGATACTCACCTCCCAGGTGAGATCGTTGTAGATGAGAAAGTATATTTTTTAGGATCTCTTGTGAACCTGCTTCTCTGCGAACAAACCTTGCAGTTTCTCGATTCAACTCTATCTACCTCGGGGCACTCCACCTGATTCTTGTTTTTGCTGGAAACCTCATGGTGGCTCTTGACAATTGACACAATTACTTGAACCTTTTCCGACCCATAAAAAAGGAAGGCGAATTCATTTGCTTCGAAGTACACGCATCGGATGGGTCGATTGAATGAATCCGAATGGACTACTCCATTCGTTGCTTTGCTAACAATTTTATATCCATGCACAGACAAGCCGATGTATATGGCTATTTGCGGACAGTACTGTGCAGAATAAGTTGCAGAAAATAAGTTGTCCTCGCATCATGAGCTTTTTCCGTTCGCTGATTTCAATAGAAACCATAAGAAATAGTAAGTGGCATCAAATTGCGCTACCAAGTTTAAAATTCACAACTATTCGGAAGGACAAATTTGGGAACTGCACTGAGAGTACAACGAAAGGGCAGGAGAGATTCCTCAGGGTCGCAGATTGGTCCAGCTATTATTGACTCAATTCATTCTATTACGCAACCTCCTGACCTTAACCTGCATCTGCAACGGAGCTTCATCACTTAACTTGAAAGCACCTCTTGCTCAAGGTCTACAGTGAACACCTGGACTGCAGAGGCGATTGACGGCAAAATCCACTGATAAATTCACGCATCTGGACATAGCATTGTGAAGTCCTAGTTGAAAAACGACAGAATCTGCCGATTCAGACAAATTTTCCTTTCGAAGTATAAACAATCATACGGACCTAGCTTTACGTGTGGCAAATCAAGTCGGCAATGAAACTAAGCGAGAAAACGATCAATCAAACGGAGGACCAGTGCAGGTTTTAGTATGAATCTTGTGGCATGAAGAACGTGGCTACAGTCTTATGTTTTATCAGAAAATTAGACTTAGAAGTAATGCTAGTGGCCTACGAATGAACCATCGTTGTAGCTCCGCGAATGGGAGCGAAACTGGACGTTGATCCGGTTTGCTGCAAGGTAAATTTAATCAGGTCGATATGATTCTTACGCAAGAGATCTGTGAGCATATACCTTCGCATGTGGGAAAACCGTACAAACTCTTCAATATCGTTCGTGGGGGGAGGGGGTTCGTGCGTAGTTCGATTTCTTGCTGCTAGTAATTACCGTACCACGACCTGCGACCCATGCTTGAATGATAACCGACCTCCAGACGAGCAAAGTACCACCAATGCTGAGAAGTTGACCTGCTCCCCACTCACCTGATACGTCAACTGATGGAACTGACAGGACGAACTCGTGATGAGAAATTCTGAAGCGTGGTTTGTGAGGTAAAGAGGTGAACGGCCAGTTTAATTGGGTCCCGAATTAAAGCTTCTGAAAGGACAAAGATGGTAGGACCCACATTTCGATTGGTAATGCATAAGTCGGGTGGGTTCAGATCCTTGTGCTGTCCACTGACGACACCTCGATTCATGCACGTGACAATGAAGATGCCCCGATCGTCGGAACATTCCTGAAATGCTGCACGATAGGCTCCGGGAGGGAAATCTGAGAATTGCCAGCCATGAAACCCCAATTTGCTGTCAGAAACCAGTCACCAAATGCTCCATCCTAGTTAATTTCTGAACATCCGTACACCATTTTCCTAATTCTTTCTTTTTTACGGACCCATTCCATGAATCTAGCTATTCACGAGTTTCACCTAATGTGAATTCAGGCAGTGGCTGCAGCAACTTGATTCGTCTGAAAGGAACTGGAGTTTGTAATGCTTGGCCCTGGAACAAGTCATCTTCCAAGCGAGCAATCGGAGAAACGAAAGTCTGCAATTTATGCGCATTCAGAGGCACGATAAGGTGATTCTTGTCTTCGAGACGACTAAATTTGATGTACTCTTACAGATTTAGAGGACGGGGGAAATTAGAATCTTTCATATTGATATTTTGAGCTTGCGCCGATTCGCAGGCTGCTAATTGATTCGAAGGCCTTTGGAGGTTTTGATTTTAGAAGAGAACTTGTTTCTAATAACACGGACAGCTGTAGTAGTTGGAATGCGTGGTAGGCAACAAGCTCTTACTCCGAGAATATATGACGTAGATATCGTGGAGTTAACCTCTTCAAAGTGAAGCTCAATGTTATCGTTTATTAAACAAAACTTGACAACGGTATCATCCAAGGTCGGCACTGCATTGTTCCTCCTGAAAACGAGCTTTCCATTAACTTAAAAGGCGGACTTAGTCGGGAGAGTTCACTGCAAGGCATTTTTTTGGATAAGCAAGAATCTCCTGGATTTCTCATTCTTTCGTGCCAACACCTCCGAGGTCTTGAAGGGGAAGACCTCGCAAAGGATGCTGTGATCAGGGTCAAGCCAGTTTTCAGAATCTGAAGGATTCTAAAATAAATCGAAGTTTAGGGGTGCAATTTGGATCACATATCCCTCAGCTTTGTGATTTGAGGTTAAGGGATCTTGAATGATCCGAATAAAATAATTGTTCAACGGAAAACAGACGCTATTATTGTTTCAAGCTGTACGTGACTATTAGGGTAGATTGAGAGTTGCGATGAAAATGTCCAACACTTCTCATGTTCTCCTCTCACCACGCATCTCCACCACTCCATTCTGCTGCAATTGGTTAAAATGAATAGATGACGTTTCATCCTCCTCTGTGCGCAGACAAATCCAAACGCCGCATGTCTAACCAAAAATGCAACGCTTCTGATTCTGTCTCGCGCATTTGAGTCTGCTGGTATTGTTTCGTCTACATATTAAGGCATCAATCAGGCGCACGCAATCAAACAACGGACCAGAACTTCGGAACCCAAGCTTAACAGAAGACGCTCCCAGGAGCCTGCCGGAGCCCACATGCGTTTCGAGGTGTGACCTATGCTCTCAAAGCAGTCCTCACACTTCACCAGATTATAAATCTGACCCTCCACGTGAGGTTCACTTGTTGAGCGAATCCTACACCGCGAACATTTCATGACTCTCAGCATTGCCCTGCACACCCATGTGAGAAGAACGTCATGAAGATTGTTTTACCTTTTTGAACGATGACCCAATTGAAGAGCACAACAGGAGCTACGCGGAAGCAGGAAACCCATCTCTAGAGCGGGCTGCTAATCCTCGATGTCCGACTTCAACGTCTATGCCTTCATTTCGCATAAAACTGTGTTTGCTTACGTACCTATCATCAAACACATGAGCAACGAAACTTCAAAGAGTTTGCGCCAAAAAATGTTCCTCGTGACCACGTCCATTCCCGTTATTAGGTTCTGCGAAACCGAGAGGAAGAACATTAAGAATCAAATACACGAACATGGGTCGATCGTTACATTCAGCAAGAACTCTAAAAATCGATCGAAAAGAAAGTGTACCGAAAGTGTAACTTGCTCAATTGTTCTCCCTTCGACTCACCAATTATCTCAACAGTCGGGATCCTCTTTCCTGTCGATATCCTGGGTATGGAAACTGGGGAATCACTGTGCAGTTCCGCGATCTTTAGTGGTTCAAGTTCTTTACTTGGAAACTGAGTACTTCGTAAGTTTCTCTCTGGGTCGACAACTTCTCCCTCTTATACTTCTCTACTTTTCGCCGTTGTCACAAATTCAGTCAAAATATTTGAGAAGTGTTCTCGCAGTTCCAGGAGTGACGAGAGACGTAGCAAGTAGTCGGCGGAAACAATGAACAAAGCAAATTTCAGGCCGAACGTTGTGATCAGTAAACAACTTAGTAGTGTGAGAGATTCACATACACTAATTTCAAGTGATAGTGTCAATTCATCAGGCTTTTGTGTGGTACTGGAAAATTTTGATTCCTGCAAGACACTGATGCACACATGAAGCATCTTGGGTTTTCCGCTTGGCACCCACCGAAGTTGCTGAAATCCTTGTCTGCAAAATGGGAGTAAAACACTACGTTTTATGGCAATGAATGTTGAAGACACCAATGTAGTTAAATTAAATATTGACGACACACAATACAAAAAGGGGAATGCTAAATTGATCCCACCAGCGATTATTTTAACCAGCCCATCATCACGATGACTAGAAATTACCTCATTATCTACCAGCCATTATTTTAACCAACCCATCATCACAATGACTAGAAATTACCTCATTATCTGATGATAGTAGTATCCATGTAAATTCTTCTATTCTAAAATAAGAAATGTGCTAGATATGGGCCTTCTTCTAGAAGAGTCATTTGACACATATAATGAAGAGATGCTTAGATCAATTTTTGGATGTCTACAATTATATAGTTTTTTGACGTTGCTTTGACAAAGGTGGTATTTTTTTAAGTGCAATAAAGGTTATTAAATATTAATAAATCTTTAAAATATTAATTAAATCTTAATTTAATTCTGATTAAAATCTTAATAAATTTAAACTAAATTCTTAGTTAAATCCTAATAAAATCCTAATAAAACCTTAAACCATAGACCAACTTTGATGAATCCTAGTAAAATCCTAATCAAATCTTAAACAAATCTTAGACGAATCCTAATCAATTTCTAATCAATTCTTAATTAAACTCTAATAAAATCCTAAATCTTAATCAAATCCTAGACAAATCCTGAACTTTAACCAAATCTTAATCAAAACCTAGATCCTAAATCAATCTTAATCAATCTTTAATCAAATTTTAAATCTTAAACAAATCTTAACAATCCTACAATGTTGTATTATGTGTGTTCTTACTTGAGAATGCACCAAGCATCTAACTATGGAAGGTAAGTAAAAATGTAACAACAATCCTATCAAGTCTAATAGAATCTTAAGTAAAAATTAATAAACTTTAATAAACTTTAATAATCCTAATCAAACTTTGACCAATCCAAAAAAAAATTAAAAGAAGTTATAAAAGAAACACAAAGAAGTCCTAAATTAATCTAAAAAAAATATAAAATAAAAAAAAAAAAAAACAAAAAATCTTAAAGAAATATAAAAATAAATCTTTTAAAAAATAACAATTATCTCAAAAAAATACTAAAAATAAAAACTTTAATTGAATCTTAACTAATTCCTAAGTCAAATTCTAATTAAAATTCTAATTAATCCTTAATTAAATCTTAGGTTAGATTCTATTGAAATCCTAATAAAATCCTAAATTCTAATAAAATCCTAAACAAACCACAATCAATTTTTAGTTAAGTTTTAAACCAATTCCTAAAAAATCCTAATTCTAATCAAATCTTAAATCAAATCCATGCCCTAATCAAATCATAGACAAATTCCAAATCAAATCTTATAGTAAAATGGAATGTTAACAACTAATGATTAAACCATTGATATCAACTCAATATTTGCACACTTTTTAATATCTTAATTAGTAACAAACACAAGAAAGATGAAATCCATTGCACTTACTAATTGAGAGAAATGCAAGATAATCCAATTGAGTATTAGGCGGCTTCCTAGTGCAACCTAAATGTTGAACTTCCAACACCAATATCTCTTTCTTGAATTGTTGAATTACATTTAAATTTTATTAAAATGTTCGAAATCAAGTCTAATATCCATGTAAAAAAAAAAAAAAAAAAAAAAAAAAAAAAACACTCACTAACCTTCAAATTCCAATTTTTGAGACCTCAATCCACAAAAACCTTTAGACACTTTGATCTAACTATCAATTGATCTCAAGATTTGTATATATATTTACAACTAGCACATCAACATACTATCCAAAATTCACTTGTACTTACACTAAAAAATTCAAGAAATCTTCAAATTTGAAAATATATTTTTATTTCTCAAAATCAAAACCAACCAAGAACATTATTAATTTTGAAAATCTCTTAAAAATTCAATATTGATTCAATTGACATAAAACCAATGCCCAAAAATCTCTCCTCTGGTTTTTTCTCAAATTTTATTCTTCAATCTATCAAAAAATCTTGAAGTTGCCATATAGATGTGATTTTATGCCTCAAGATCTTATTTCAACCCATGTTGACAATTGGTCCTCTTTAGGTATCAATTTTTAGTAATTTAAAGTAAATTTTGCTTTATCCTATTGTTGAGTCTCTTTTAAATATGCCTATTTCAAATTACTTTAATTTGGTTCATTTATTCCTTTACAAATTAAATAAAAGCTCCTTCTATAAAAAAAAAAAAAAAAAATAGCATTGAGATTAAATCCTTTAATAACTTTCTATCATTTATCTTTATTTTTTTACTACATCTTTTTGCTATGCTCTTCTATAATAACATCCATATTTTTATTTTTTACTATATAGTCATGTTATTGTATAATAATGGTAGATTAAAAATTTAATAATTAATGATTGAACTATTGATTTTGACTCAAAATTTGCACATCTTGCAACAACTAAGTAAGCAACAAGCATAAAAAATTTGAAGAAGATCACTCATACTAATGGCAAGCAAAGCTCACAAAACCTCTTGGTGTTGGCTGCCTTCTTTTACTAACTTGAACGTTGATCTTTCAATATAGATTTTTCATTGCTGAACTATTCAATTGTTCTACAATTGGGATTGTATATAGATATTCAAGTCAAAATTGTTTCACCAATTTTTTCTTCAATCAAACTAGCAAATATTATCAGATTGCAAAACCCTTCATTGACTCTAAATCTCAATTATTCAAAATCATAACCTACAAAAATCCTCATATGCTTCAATCTAACCACTCAATAGACCTCAAATTTTTCACACACATTTACAACAAGTACAATAAAAAATTGTCTAATTTTCACCCAAATATATGCTACAAATTCAAGAAACCTTTAAATTTGTAAACATATTTTTGTTTCTCAAAATCTAAACTCACCAAGTACAATACTAACTTTGAAAATCCTTGAAAATCTTAATATTAATCCAAATTATATGAAATAAACATTCAAAAATCTCTCTTCAAGTTTGCTCTCAAATTCTATTCTTTGATTTGCAAAAAAAACCATAGAATTGCTATAGTTACTTAGATTTATGCCTTGAGATCTAATTTTAACCTTGATTAGCAATTATTCCTTTCTAGATATCAATTCTATCTTCTTCAAGTAATTTTTGCTAAAATCAACTCTTAACTCTCTCTTACACATGTTTATATTTTTTATTTTTTTTATCTATCTTGTTTATCTTACTTATAGCTCTACAAAATAAATAAAATCTATTTTCATAAAAGAAAATTTTAATACTAATAGATTTTAGTACTTGTCCATCATTTATCCATATTTTTTAATTATATATTTTTAATTAGGCTCTTCTATAATAAAATACTTTCTTTTTTCTTTCACCAAATAGATGTACTACTACACGATAATGTTAAATTCCATTCTTGAATTGATCATGTGGTAGCATTAAACTAGGTTATTTATCATAATAGTGTATAAGGCCACTACTATTTAGCTACTAAAATATTTGAGGATGATAAACTCAAGAAAATTCACAACAAATAGCAAGAGATATCAAAAGTGTACGACAAAATAAATACAGCATGATAAAGCAAGAGCATATGATAGAGCTAGAGTAACATAACAAAATGAAAGTGGCATGATGTTGAAGTTGTTGAGAGAGATTATCTTCTTTTATTCTATATATGATATTAAGGTTTAAAGTAAAGAATGCAAGAGAAATATAAAGAAAATTAGGGCTTTCAATTTTTTGCCTTCTTTCTTCTCAATCAACTAAATTCTAATTCTTTTAGTTATATTGAACTAATAAGATTGTAGACATTGTGGATGTTGGTTAATAAATGGATATCAAAGAGATTTCAATTTTATTGGATAATAGATATTATAGATATTGGTTAATTGGAAATATCATTGTCAAGTCACTTTAGTGATGTTGTAGGTATCAAAGCTTGCTTTGATATCATAATATTATTTAAATTCATAACAAACTTTAGGTACAATTTTGATGTACAATATGGGGCTAATGCCATGCACAGTTTAGCTCAATGCTGGTTGAAAGCTTAATTTAATTTTAAAGCATTCATTACAAGTCAATACATTACCTATTAATTTATTATATGATTTACCTATCTAAGATTTTTATTAAAGAATTATGATGTATCTGCAATACTCAAACTCTTATCATTGTCTTTATTATAATTCAAAAAACTTATTTTTAATATTATAATTTATTTCTCTTTTTAGAGTTTGTAACTTCCAATATTGTACTATGCAACTTTGGTAGTATTCTTGCAACTCAAAGTAAAGATTCAAGTATTAAATGATGGATTGCAAGGCATGTTTGTATTGTATTCAATCCCATCAAGTGCTACTATTATCACCAACAATAGTGTGACAAACATTACAAAAGGCATTGATAAAACAACTTTCATAAAAAATCCTCAATAAATCAATTTAAAAAAAATGAGTGTCCATGATTAATCCAATTGCAAAGCCAGAGATAATTATTGTGACATGTTGCACCCTGACAATCTAATTTCAAATATGATATTCACATGTATATTGTTGTCATTGGATAATGATGCAGTTTTTAGTCATTTTGATAATGGATGGATCAAAATAACAGTTTGTGGAGTCAATTTAATATTCTTCTACAAAAAAATTCATTTATTCTATACTATATGTGATTTATTTTTTATTCTATTTTAAAAATAAATATTAAAAATAGTAAAATAATATCGATTAGAATATATCGATTAATAATATTAATAATATCGATTATAAAAAGTGAATTATTAAAATATGTAATTTAGTAAATTCTATATATTTTATTTTGTACTTAGATAATTTAATTACTATTCAAAGATTATTTCTACATATAATAACCATATTATTAGATTTAATGTCTATTTCGATATATATTCTAAG